GCGGCTGAGGTGCCTGTGGGCCAGGCCTGGGAGAGGGCAGGGGAGACCTGGGTGACCTTCCTTGGCGGGACCCACGTATGGACATAGGCCAGGAAGGCAGAAGCATTCAGAAGAGTGCAGGTCGGCCTGCTGGTTAGCTCACCTCGGTGACACGCTGTTGACTCACCTGGACACGCCAGAACTGGCTAGTTTTGTCCTCCCCACCCCCTGGTGAGCATCGGGGCTGGTTGGGGACAAAGTCAGAATGGGGCCTTTGCCAGGCACTGCTGTGTGTCCTAAGCTGAGATGCTCAACTTCTCCGAGCCGCCTGGGTGACATGAGCATAGCGGGGCTGGGGATTGTGGGCCGGTTTTTAAGCCCAGCACATGGCCTGTAGCATCTCTGAACTCTCCTGTCCATTTTGGGCCTCAGTTTCCCCCTGTGCACCTCATGTGAAGCTTGTCATTAAAGAACGTTTGAGGACCGATGGGAGGGAGAGAATGAGACCAGAGAGGCTGGGCTGGGCAATGAATATAGGCACTTGAGAAGGGTCACCTCCTACTGGACCCTGGTCATGTTAAGTTTCAGCTCCTGCCCCTTAACACAGAGTAGAGGTTATTTTTTGGAAAGGGGTGTCATGCTTGGAAAGATAGAGGGTCTATGAAAGGGAGGAAGACCCTCAACGAGATGGATTAACGCAGTGACGGCAGCATTGGGCTCAGGTGTGTCAGAGATGATGAGGATGGCACAGGATATGACAAGGTTCAGATCTGTTGTTCATAGGATCCCAATGAGCCGTACTTGACAGCACCGAAACGACGTGCAAACTTGTGACTGGTCATGTCCCTGCTCTCATAGCCTCAGCTGCAGCCTCTTCCTTTCTCTGCCCCTTTCTCCACCCCTCTAGCCGTGCTTAACTTCTGACCTTCCCGCAAGGTGATGTGACTCAGTTACTCAGGGTTGGAGATCTCTTTATGCCACTGACCTGGAAGAGCCCCAGGGTGGTGGCTTCTAAATTGAGTCTGTATGACTCCAGGTGGGGGCAAGGGGTAGAGGGAAGCCAAGCAGCTTTGCAGGTGGAGGAGGCTGAGGGTCAGGTCCCCCTATGCACCCACAGCTCTTCCTTTTGGCCATTTTGAGTGGAACTAAAATTTGCAATGGCCCATGAATAAGGATGACACAGGAAGAATTGAGATGCCTTTGAAAGGTGGTGTTGGAGAAGAGTACTGGCTGTCTCATGGACTGTCTTGGAAGTGAAGGTGCAGCCGGAATGCCCCTTACAGGCAATAAAGATAATAAAGCTTCCTCTCACATACTTTGGGCATGTTGCTAGGAGAAGCGATTGCTTGGAAAGAGATATCATGCTTGGAAGGGTGGGAGGCTGGAAAAAGAGAGGAAGACCCTCTACTGGATGGATTGATACAATACAATGGGTGCAGCAGTAAGTTGAGTGTGTCAGAAATTGTGAGGACGGCACAGGATAGAACAGAGTTCGGATCTGTTGTTCATAGGGTCACTATGAGTGGTCCTTGACTCAATGGCACCTAACAAGAACAACAGAATTTGTAAAGCTCTACTCTAACTGAATCCTCCTGCCTACCCCTGCTTTTAAAATTTTTTTATTTTATTAATTTTAATGAATGTTTACAGAGACTTTGGATTTCCATTCATTCATTGTTGCATTTTTCTCCCTGCCCACCCCTCCGCCCAGTGCGCTCTTCTTTTTGAAAAGTAAAAGAAAAATTCTTTTCATTGGTGTACAATCCTCCCTCTACCCCCGACCCAGAGTACACTCCACTATGCAACCTTCATTCCTGGACTCTTGTCATAACCATCAAACCCAATCATATATTGCTTTCAAACAGTTCTCTCCCTCATCTGTTTCAATGTAGTATACATAATTTATCCAATCTTTCTCAGTCTCACCCCAACCCTGATGTCAGTCCCATTCTACAACAGTGGCACTATGCAGAGAAGGTGTAGGCTAGTTATGAACTGAATGGCCAGGTGGGGACCAGAAGCCTCTCTTGGGGCTGCAGCTGAGGTGCGGATGGGTCTAGGCTGGGACCAGCCCCATGGGGAAGAACATGAGAAGCCCAAGGAGGAGGGACCCCAGGGACAAAAGCCTCCCTGTCTGGGGTGCCTGGTTGGCTGGGATGGGGCTGCCTGTCCCCAGGTGAGAGAAGGAAATATTGGTGTTCAAAACCAACTACATGGCCAGATGTTTCCTGCCTTTTATTTTCTCCTCACTCTCCTCTGGGTCCCAGCCCCTCCTAGCCTGGCTGTCCCTGTTCTTCCAGCGCTGGCCAGTCCAGGGCATCCTCGTCTCTAAGTCCAGACCCCTGGCTGACTGCCAGCTGAGGACAATCAGGACACCCCCAAGGGGCCTGTCCACTCTGTTAGTTTTTGGAGACACGGATGAGGGTGATCAGCTCAGTCCTGGCCCTGCTCGCCTCACTCTTGCACTAGATTCTCTTGCTGCTGCTGGTGGCCTCAGGGGACGGCAGAGGCTGGAGCTGAACCTCTAGCTGCTTCCCCTTCCTGCCTCTCCCTCCCGCGGCCTCACCCTTCTCTGAGGCAGTAGCAGGAAAGGTGGGGCAGGAAAGCCTGGCTCAGGCGCCTGGCTAGAGTTCTGAGACACCCTTCTTCTCGCTCTGCCTGGCCCCAGAGACGACTCCTGAGGTGCCATTGGTTCTCCCAGGGGCCTGGGATGCTGACCTTATGGGAGAAGAAGAGGGGAGACCCTTTCCCTTCCTTTTTCTGCCTGCTCATTCTTAGTTGCTCCCCGAGATGTTCTCTCCCCTGTACCAGCCTCATAGGCCTGGGAGAGGCAGTCTCTCTAAAACACTCACTGACCTCAACCCTGAGAACTCCGGTCAGGTCATCCGGGCAGGTGATGTCCTTTGCCAAGCAAGGGCACCGTGGTCTGGTGTGGTGGTTTGCAGCCTGGCAGTAGAGGGGCATTTGAACCCAACCCTCTGGTAGCCCCACCCCTCCAGTCGTTGTATTGTTGGGTGCTGTCAAATCGAATACGACTCATTGCGACTCTATGCACAACAGACCTGAACCTTGTCTTCTTCTGTGCCTTCCTCCCCATCTCCCATATACACGCGTTCAACGAGGGTCTTCCTCTCTTTTGCTGACTCTCCACCCTTCCAAGCATGATATCCTTTTCCAAGGAGTAGCCTCTCCTAGCAACATGGCCAAAGTATGAGAGATGAAGTGCCCGCATTCATGCCTCCAGGGAGCACTCCGGCTGCGCTTTTTCCAAGACAACCCCGCTCATTGTTTTGGCCCTCCACAGGATATTCAGTACTCTTCTCCAACACCACGCTTAAAGGCATCAGTTCTCTTTGGTATTCGTTGTCCAGATCTCAGATAAAAAGCAAGTAACTGGCGGGGGGGGGGGGGGGGGGGGGATGGGGGAAGAAAGAAAGCTGGTTGTAGGCGTAAAGTGAAATATGACTCAGAGTGACTCTCTGAACAACAGATCTGAATCTGTCTTATCCTGGGCCACCCTCACCATCTCTGATGTACACATGAACTCATTCAACTAACAAGTAACTGAAAAGACCGGGGCCTAAATCAGGCCCACCTTAGTCTTCAAATTGACATCATTGCTCTTCAGTATTTTAGAGATGCTGCTGACAGTGGACTTGCCTGAAGCAGTAACAAAGTCTCCTTTTCTCCTGACTGCTGATATCAAGGGTTTTGATTGCAGACACAAGCAAGAAGAAATAATCTAAGTTGGGAAACTATTCCCAGGTGCTCCTTGCCTGCTCACAGGTTCCCTCACTCCAGGGCAGGAAATCTAAAGCCTAGAGTCCCCCTGCTTAGCCCCATTTGCCCCACCTCTAGAGGAGGACCCATCCACAGGCACAGCGAAATTTGAAGTCAGAGGGTGTAGATTGCCCCCAGTCTGGCTTCTCCCTCTCACTGCTGTGTGTTGTCTCTTCTATACCTGTCAAGGAGTCCCTCTCCAACACCAGACCCTCAAGCACCTCCATTGCTCTCAGTCTTCCATGGCTCCCTATGGACCAAGTTAATTAGGATGCTACATGGTAGACTGCCAAGAGGACGAACAAGTGTGTTTTGGAGAAAGTGCAGTCAGGGTGCTCCTCGGAGGCAAGGAGGGTGAAACTGCGCCTTGTATACGTAGAGCCTGTTGTTAGAAGGGGCCAGTCCTTGGAGAAGGACATCTTGTTTGGAAAGGTGGAGGGTCAGTGGAAGAGAGGGACCTCCAGAGGGGTAGATTGCCTGTAGCAGTGGGCTCAAGTATATCAGAGATGATGAGGATGGTACAGCATAAGGCAGAGTTCACATCTGCTTTTCCTACGGCTGTTATGAGTTGTACTCGGCCCCTAACATCGAACGCGTGGTGGGCCAAGCACAGAGAGACTGGTCCTCATACGAGTCACGGCACCTCTATGCCCTGCCCTCCTCTTTGCCTTTTGATTTCTTGCCTCCCCTTTATGTCTAGAAGGACGTCTCCAGGCACCCTCTGGTCCCCTAGGCTTCTCCTTGTTTGTTTAGTGCTTTTGGGTGGCAGGGAGCCATGAGCTACAGCTTTGAGGTCAAGGTCATCATGCCCTTCTGACAACCTGCCTGTCTTCAGAAACTGCAGTGTCTCTGAGCAGACTTCATGAGGAAGGAGTTGGGTCAGAGCACCACTGGATATTAATTTACCCTGGTCACTGGGGAGCCATGGGGTGGGGGGGAGGATGTTGAGAAGAGCAGTGAACAGAGCAGACTGGTTTTGATGAACATCTGCTTCCCTTGGCAGTTCTGTGCCGTCTCGCAGTCCTCTGAGTTTCCCCAGCTGTACGACGATGGAGACAGGATAGAGCATCAGGGCTCGTTTCAAGTCCACCTTTGCGGCATCCTCATTTCATTCCAGCTCAGATGTGGGACAGTCAAAGGCTTTGCTTCTGAGTTCTGGTCCTGGGATAACACCAAACATGCCTCCCTAAGAGACATTGCTGTCTGCTCTACTCAGAGGCCCTGCGTCCAGCGCCCTGGCCATGTGCAGCCCCGAGGAGTCCTCCCTGCTGCGGCTGGAGGAGGTCTTCTCAGCCACGCTCGCCCGCATCAACAGCCTTGTGCTCCAGCCGCTGGTTACAGGTGGTGAGTCCAGGCTTTCCAGGGGGTGGGATGGGGCATGCAAGAACCAGTAAGAGCCCTGTCCTGCTGGGCTCTCTGAGCACTGGTTGACTCTCAAAAAACCTCATTGAATTCAAGTCAGAGCAGGCTCCCAGCAGACCTACTGTCGAGTTTGTGGAGACTGTAAATTGTGCAGAAGATTAACCATCTTTCTCCCACATCTTTGAACCACAGAGAGACACTGCCTTTGTGGCTAGGCCACCAGAACTCCTGGAACAGGTTGGCTAGCCACCTGGAAGGCTCCTGCTTTCTCCACTTCAGGTGGGGCTAGTGACTCTTGGTTCTGGCATCTTCACGTGGCACCAGGGTCCCAACTGGTGATGTTGGCTACTTTGTTTTCAAGTGGACTTTGAAGGCCAGGCCATGAGTTTGCATCCTAGCTCCTACCCACTGATGACCTTCTTGAGCTCCGTCTGTTCCCTTCCACATCGGTGGTGCCCAGAAGCCTGGCTGGAAGACGGGATGCCTAAGTTTTAATTCCAGCTTGAAAGTGAAGCTGGACGGGCAGGCTCCTTCCTCCTGGGGCCTCTGTCCACCTGTCCAATTGCAGAGGACTGAGTAGCCCAGGCTCTCCACATCCTGCAATGTAGGAGTCCAGGGACAAAGAAGCCCAGCAACTTGGGGGCTAATATGCTGAACTTCTCTAGATTATCTTGTTAGCCCTGTGCAGTGAGAAGGTGAACGCTCACCCCATTTTATCCCTCAAGGGTGCTGCCCACTGCTGCGGCCTGCCCATCCCCTGCTAGGCTTAAGGGCACACATCTCCTTCCAACCCTGTTCCCTGAGACCCCCAAGAATACAGGGCCCTGGCTGCAGATCCGGGCTGTGGGGTCCTGCTGGCCCTTGCATGCTCCCCCTGGCCCTGTGTGTGCTCCGTCCTGACTGTGTGGCTCTGTTCTCGCCCAGCTCCAGAGCCCTCGGACCCCCGGGGAAGGGAGTGCCTGCGGCTCCTGCAACAGCTGCACAAGAGCTCCCAGTGTCTCTGGGAGGTGACAGAAGAGAGCCTACATTCACTGCGAGAGAGGCTGCTTCACCCAGACTCCAAGGGCCTGGAGTCCCTGCTGCTGCTACGTGATGCTGACCGTGTCCTGCAGGTCTACCTGGAGTAAGGCAGATGAAGCAGCTCAGCCCGGGCCTCAGGGCTGCTCTTGGCACTAGGCCTTCCCTGGGGCTGTACTCACCTGAGTCAGGGTTTAAGCCAAGGTCAGAGTGGAGCTAGGGTTGGCTGTTCAGCTTGGAGGCTCATCTTAACAGTCAGGGCTTATCTGGGATTGTCCCCACCTGGGCTTGGGGAAAGCTTGGCAGCAGGTTCAGGTACTGCAGACACCCCCACCCCGAGTCATGGGGGGACCTCAAAGGAAGGGAGATTTTGTAGTTAGAACCCTGCCTTGGTTCTAAGGGCCACAGCGGGTCATTGGATGGGAAGAAGGGTAGGGGCTGGGGTTTGGAGCAGGGCTGGGCTTGCAGCGGCTGCTCCATGGTGCCCACAGGTACATCCAGTCCTACACGAACTGTGTGGTGGTCCAAGCCTTCCAGAAGGCAGGCAAGAGGAAGAGGTGAGCACAACCGTGTGGCGGTGGGTCAGGAAGGGATGCGGATGTCAGGCCAGGGAAGCTGGGTCTACAGAACAGCTGGTGTCTCAGTCCTTGACTCACCAGGAGCACGCTGGGCTCTGACAATTCCACGCCCGCCCGGGAGACGAGGAGAGAAGGCTTTGTGAGGCTGTGAGCAGAGCCGTCTCCGATGACGCCGGCCTTGGGGAGGAGAGATGTTCCTACCCAGGGTAGATGTTCAGCGATCCCTAGGCTCTGAGATGTTGTTTATGTGCCATCTAGTCAGAACTGACTCAGGGCTCACTCTCTAGCGAGATTTCAGAGGCAGCAAATGACGCGGGAGGAGATTGTCCGTCTTTCCCCTGCGAAACAGCTGGTAGAATTCGAACCGCCTGCCTCTGTGTTGTCAGCACACAGTTCCTTCCTACTACGCCACCAGGCTCTGAGATTCTGGTGCTTGTTCACTCTCAGTAGTGCTGACTTCAGCTCTGTGCCTGTCTGATGGGAGAGCTGAGCCTGGTACTGGATCCTGCGCTGGGAGGTGACGGTGGTGGTGGGAGCAGGAATGGGTAGGGGGAGACTGAGCTGGTGTGTGACTCCCCCGCTTCAGTGAGTACTGGCGGGGCCAGCGGAAGATGCTGCGACAAATCCTGTCGGACGTGATCTCCGAGGGTACCGCGGGCCCCGTGCTGGCCCAGGCCCTCTGCCAGCCGCTCACCCACCACGTGCAGAAGTACGTGCATCTGCTGCTGAGCCTCGGGGACACTGTCGGGGAGGTGGGTACCAGGGCCCCCGGGGTGCTGGGAGGGGGAGATGGGGCCCAGGCTCAAGGGACTCACCTTGTACTCAGACAGCCACTGAGGGGTGAAGGGGGGGACATGTTCTGTCCTGGGGGCTCTGTGACACTTGACTTTGCCTTGATGGAGCTGGTAGAAACCCAGAGAACAGATGCAGACTTCTGTGCTGGGTATGAGGACTCATGTCAGAGCAAAGCCTAGGGGGTCATCAAGTGGCCCTGACCAGTCCTCCCCCAAAAGGAAGAGGAATTGTCAGAGAGATAAGGGTGAACTTGGGCCTCGTGTCAGGCCCCCTGGCAGGGGCATGGTGGGGCCAGCCACCACAAAGTGGGAGAGCTTCCCTTAAGTTGTTCCCTGCCCCTACGCCCCTGTCCCCCTGCAGTGTCACCCTGCCCGGAAGCTGGTGGTGCACGCGGCCACCCTCTTCGGGAGCCTGCAGTCTTTCCTGAGGCAGGCGCTGGGCCAGGCGGAGGCCACGCAGGCGCTCTGGTCAACGCTGAGCAGCAGGCTGAGGGTGAGTGTGGGGCCCGAGGGTGGTCAGGCAAGTTCCGCACCCTGTGTGGCCTGCTGGCCAGCTCAGGCGTCTCTCGCTTTACTCCCTGTCCCTCACCTTCCCCACCTGGGAGAGGAGGGCACGGCTGAACCAGGTGGTCTAGAAGGTCCCTCTGCCCACCCTGCCTTGTCCCTTGCCTAAGCACATCCTGGACTAAGGCCTCTGCCGGTTCTGGAGAAGCGGTGGTCAGCCAGACTGACCATCATCTCCCTCTTGAGGCCTGAGTGGAGATGGGGTGTCAACGAACAACTGTCCTTTGTCCCTTGTCACTCACTCCCCTGTGCTCTGTCCTGAGAGACAGCGTCTCCTGGGCTCCAAGAGGGTATAATAGACTCAGGACAGCGAATTAGGAAGAACAGTTCTTACTGCTAGAATCTGAAGTGAGAATTCATAAGAGCCTGGCTAGGGTCAGGGCATGGGGGTGGATGGGGGCAAGGATGGACAAAGTGAAGCTTCTAGAGAAAGAATTGATACTGCACTACTGAGAGACCAGTAATGACCCCTATCCCTCAAATCCATGGCTTGAGCTGTGTGCTTACCACTGACTTGGGGGGAGCCCTCAGGTCCACCTGAGGAGACCTGTAGCAGGTGTCTGGAGTGCAGAGGGGTGGGCAGGACCCTGCTGTCTGGAGTCAGCTCTCAGCCTCGACTGCCCCGAGGGGGACAAGTGACTGGGCAGCTGACTGCTTCCGGGACAGGAAGCCTGAGCCTTGCCTCTCCTGCTCGCCTCCCAGCCTGTGCTGTGCACCCCTGCTCACCGACTCCTACAGGACAGCCGGGACATTCCTGTGACGGTCTCCCCGCTGCGAGCGGAGCGTGTGCTGCTGTTTGATGATGCCCTCATCCTCCTGCAGGTTGGTTGGGGCGACCTGAGGCCTTGGGGCCACAGTGGACTCTTTTTTTTTTTTAACTGAGGAAGTCAGAAGGTTATAATTCAGACTAATAACAGAACACAGTCAATACAGCTCCCACAATGTGCATGTACACACCTCAGCCTTGATCCTGGCAGTGTTCCCAAGTTCTCAGTCCTGCCAATATTGGCTTCCCTCCCTCCCAGTTGTCCAGCAGAGTTCTCAGTCCTGCCAGTATTGGTTCTCCCTGTCCTCCAAGGTCTCATCTCATTTCACGTTAGTTCTCCAGTTCAGCCATGGCTGTTGCTGCCCACCCAAAGCGTGTCTTGCGTTTCACCAGGTTGGGGGAGGTCTCTCTTCTCTGGCGAGGAGGGCATTCTTCTCACATTGGACCCTTGGAGGTCCGGCTGAAGCAGTGGGAAAGGACAAGCAATGTGGACTTGGAGAGCTTGTGGGGTGCAGAAAGGCCAACAGCTAGGTGGAAGCAGTCACCCAGCAGCTGTGGGCAGCGTGGTGCCGTCACCCACGTGCTGTCTGAGGGAGCGCGGTTGGTTACAGATAGTCAGCTCCTCATCTCTAAAATGGGCATGATCCTTAGTGAGTTTGTACAAAACAGAGACAGTACGATACTGGGAATTACGACCTAGGCAAGTTATCGTCTATTTTGGGGGGACATACTGCAATTTGTGACAGCCCAGGAGGGATGCTTTTTCCTAGTCTAGTCCCCTGTCTCCTGATCTTTGGTTTGGGAGTTCTTTTTTAGTTTGAATCTCCCTCCTGGGCTCCACTCCTAACTTCACACTCCAGATACACCCAAGAGTTTCCACCACTCGATGTGCCAAGCTCTTTCCCACCTCTGGGCCTTTACACATCCTCCTCTCTGGCTGACCTGATCTTGTCTCTGACCTGTATCTGGAAAACTCCTTCTCTGAACCTAGACCTGCCACCACCTCCTCCAAAAAGCTTCACTCCTGGGGCAGTGACTGGCCTGTCTGGGCCAGACTGGGGTGGCTGCACAGAATTTTTCCAGGGGAGGAGGTGTGGGTCTGACCCTTAGGGCAGGGATGGCACTCCAGGTAGAAGGAGCGGGACAGGTAAAGCTTAACGGGAGAATTGTGGGCGGGGTCAAGAAGGTACAGGTGTGCGTGGCCACACAGGTACATGTTGCAGACCGAGGGTCCCAAAGAATGGAATAATTTTATAATTATTAATAAAGAGACAAACAGCCAGGAATGTGATAGAGCAGAGAGCACAAAACAGGGGGCCAGTAGTTCTCGACTGAAGACCCCAAGTCATGTTTCTCTGTGTATTTATTGATAATCTGGGGAAGCAAATAACAAAAGGAATTCCTTGTAAATGAAGGCTCTATTTTTCTCTATTGTCAGCCCAATGCTCTAGCTCAGGAAGTATTTCCCAGGAAGTAACACTCTGTAGGAGGGCCCTACCTGTCTCCTGTCTGCAGGAAACAAACAGCTCATTTTCTGGGATCTGCCACAAGAGAAATCCTAACTTATAAATCTGCACTTCCTTCAATTCCTGAACGAGGATTTTCATAATAATATTTGGTATAAAGTTTGGCTTCCCATAGGTACAGGTGTGTGATTACGATGCCGGTGGTGTACAGAAATGTGGGGTACAGGCATGTGAGCTGGGCTGGGGCGGCCTGAGTGAATCTTGAATGAGGGGTTCACTCGGAGCCTGGGCTCATCTTCCAGACAGCAGGAACCTTAGAGAGGTCTCCAGCAGGTGTGACAGGTAGAAAGAAGGGGAAATTGGTCCCCATTCCTGGCCTTGGATGGGTGGGGGAGTAGAGAAATTGTTCTGGGGATGGGGGAGAGATGTTGGGATGTGGACCTGAGCAGCTTAGGGGATCCTGGGACTGTTGGTGGGGTCAGTCCTGGGGCAAGATTGAACCAGAGACCTATGTGAGCACCTGGTGTGGGCTCTGCATGACCCCTGTGCCCTGTCTTCTTCTAGGGTCACCACGTCCACACCTTTGATCTGAAGCTGGTGTGGTTAGATCCTGGACAGGACAGGTGCGCAGCCCTTCTTTTGTCTCCAGCCCTGCCCTCCCTCCACCTCTGTGACCTGTAGCCACGGGCCTGGGCTCACGTTAGGGGCCCCCTACCAGGACAGGGCCAGCCTGTTCCTCACCTCCTTCTCTCTAGGAACACGTTCCACGTCCTCACTCCTGAGGAGGAATTCTCCTTTTGCACCAAGGACCCCGAGGACCGGGTGAGTGTGGGTCAGGGTGACGGGGGGAGCGAGAGTGTGTGATTCTGCAGGGACAGGGGTCATCAGACCTCTGGGATCACGGTCATGTCATTCCAGGGTCAGCGGTTGAACTTTAGTCAGGTTAAGGGCTGTGGACAGCCTGGGGTCTGGGATCAGAATGCTGTGGAGGACAACTTATTCCCAAGAATGCAGGATTGAGGGCTTTGCCAGTCCCTGCCGCGGGCCTTGTCCAGCTGTGCAGGGTAGACCCTGAAACTGCAGACAGGGACCTCAGGTCTCCCTGGAGGGCCCTGGGAAGCAGTGGGGAGAGGCTAAGAGAGTCTCCCAGTGGTAGACCTGGCTGGAGGAGGTTTCTGGAGCTGTTGCAATCTGTGGCTGACTTGAGGGGGGCTTCCTGGAGGGGGTGCATGCAGCACCACTGACCTGCCCTGTGCTCCCCTGTCCCCACCAGGTGGTCTGGCAGTGGAACGTGACCCAGGCTGTGTGCCAAGCCCTCCGTGGGAAGAAGGACTTCCCGGTGCTGGGGGCAAGGGGCCTGGATTCGCCTGAGCCCCCCACCTGCCGCTGTGCGACATACACCTTCTGTCGGGAGGGCCGGCTCTGCCAGGCCACCTATGAAGGCGAGTGGTGCCAGGGCAGACCCCATGGCAAGTGAGTGACCGGGGGCTCCAGCCGGGCCAGGCTTCTGGGCCTTGATTTCCTCATCTGCCAAATTGGGGGTGCTGGTCCCTGCCCCACCTTTCTGTGTTTGTTCTCTCCCTGACTCCAAGTCAGCTGAGCATCTTGGGGGAGGCACTGCCCCGCAGCTGTCTCATCTCTAGAACAGGGACAGTGTTAGTGGTGCCCTCAGGGGGCCATCGTGAGGATAAATGCAGACCAAGGGCTCTGAGGCGGCCCTGCCCTGGTGGCACAGTGATTAAAGCAGCTGACTGCTAACAAATTAGGTCTTTGTGAGTCCTGTTTGTTCCTCAAAGTCCTCCTGGAGCAAGCTGATTCTGATAGACAATCATCTTATCACGCAAACTTCTGTATCTGGTGGGTTTAAACTTCCCACCTTAGCTGGTTCGAACTTGAATTTTAGCTTTGAGCTTCCTGACTGTCATGGAGAAAAGGGAACCTAGATGTTTCCTAGGGAGCTCCTAATGGAACCTGATGGATGTGCCTTTAGCCAGAAATGAAGAAACTAAAAAGGGCTTGCTGTGTGAGTTTAAGGCTCAGATAAGAGGACAATTAGAGGAAGAGTCTAGTCAAGGGGGCCCCGAAGCTTAGGGAAGTCTGTGGCTAATGGCTGTTTGGAATTAATGTGTGTGGTGAGGGGTGGCTGGGCAGGCCTGATGCCTGCGGGCCTTGTCTGTGTTCCAGGGGCACACTGAAGTGGCCTGACGGGCAAAATCATGTGGGCTATTTCCGCCAGGGCCTGGAGCACGGGTAAGGCTGTCAGGACTGCTGCTGGGTCTGCATGGTGGGCAAGGGAGTGGGTTCCCCCCTTCTGTGGTCACCAGCTAGGTCCTATCCTACTTTCCCAAACTCAGTGTAAGCCTTAGAGACTATCCAGTTCAGCCCCCTACCCCCTTGTAACGAAGGGGAAACTGAGGCCCCGAGTAGGAGACGGCTCTCAGCTCAGGGTCTTGGAGGGAGGTGGTATAAGACCAGAGGGTGCGCTCAGAGTCACCGGGGACAGGATGGAGGGAGGGAGTGTCCTGGGACAGGCCTTTGGGGAGAAGCGAGGAGCTGGGCACCCCTGAGATTTCCCCCCACTGTCTCAGGTGGCTCCTGGGAGGCAGGGTCACTGGTACCGTAGGGAAGCTGTAACAGGGCTTCTCAGGTCAGGATGACCGGGGGGGGGGGTCCAGTACGGACTTCTCAACCTCTCCCATCACACCTGCTCAGCTTTGGCATCTGCCTGGTGCCCCAGGCCGCCGAGGACAAATTTGACTGTTACAAGTGCCATTGGCGGGAAGGCAGCATGTGTGGCTATGGCATCTGTGAGTAAGTGAGCCCGTGGCCTGACGGGGGGGAAGGTCTGATGGGGGGCGGCCTGACAGGGGGAAGGTCTGATGTGGGGAGGCCTGACCAGGGAAGGCCTGATGGTGGGAGGCCTGACAGGGGAGACCTGATGGGGAAGGCCTGACAGGGAGAAGGTCTGATGGAGGGAGGCCTGATGGGGGGAAAGACTGGCGGGGAGCAGCCTGATGGGGGAGGCCTGACCAGGGAAGGCCTGATGGTGGGAGGCCTGACAGGGGAGACCTGATGGGGAGAAGCCTGACGGGGACAGGCCTGATGGGGGAGGCACTCCTGGGATGGGCTTGTCCTCTGGGCCGAGTTCTCTGAGGCAGGACTGGCAGTTTTGATCCTCCTCAGGTACAGCACTGATGAAGTGTACAAGGGCTACTTCCAGGAGGGTCTGCGGCATGGTTTTGGTGTCCTTGAGAGCCCCCTGCAGGCTCCGCATAGCTACAAGTACACCGGCCACTGGGAGCGGGATCAGAGGAGTGGCTACGGCATTGGGGAAGACGGAGACAGGTGAGCCCCCTCAGAATGGCCCTGCTTCACAGGGTCCTCTGGGATGGGCCCTGCCCTGTGGTCTGGAGAGACAGGCCCTGTCCTGGGGGGAGGGAGTTTCTGAGGGTCTAGTGACCTATGCTGGAATGGGGGGTGCTGGTCTGAGGGGACAGGAGATAGACTATCCTGGGGGCCTGAGGAGTAGAGACCTTCACAGACCTAGTATCTCTCAGATAGATGTGTAGCTCAGATTCCTGAGATAAATGCCAGGAGTTTAATACCGAGGGTCTCTCTTCAGTGCTCTCTTTCCCTCCCTCAGTAGCTCAGGCTGAGGCTGTGAGAACCCTGGCCTCCCTTCCACTGCTCCTTGTAATTCTTTTAAATTTTTTTTTTGTTTTATTTTATTTTATTATTTTTTTGTGTGCGTGTAACATCAAATCAGATCTGACTGGTACAGGAGGAGATTGTCCCTTCTTTTCTAGCAGAACATCTGGTGGATTCAAACTGCATACCTCTGGGATTGCAGTGCAGCTTCTTGCCACTAGGCCACCAAAGCTCACCCCCGCTCCTTGTAATTCTAAGTCCTGGCTCGTCCCATCTAAAAATTGTAGCCCTTCCTGGCTCTCCAGGCCATGGGACAAAAAGCCCAGGCCCTGGACCTAGCATTTGAAGGTTCACTTCTACCCCTATCGCCCCCATGCACCTTTCCAGCCTTTCTCAGCCACTGACTCTTCTTAACCTGTCTTTCACTCCTACATCTGTGACTTTACCTGTTCATGTATTACCCCAGCACATTCTAACTACCCTTCTGCCACCTCCTCCAGGAAGCCTTCCAGGATGCCATCCCCTACTTTCTCTTCCCCTTGGGGGTCCTAACCACTCCTGCCTGTGTCTGTCCTTGCTCCTTGTCTGCCCTCCACCCTCTGCCCCAGCACGCATTTGGTCAGTAGATATGATTCTGATCCAGCTCTGTCCCAACTCCCTCCTCCCCAGGGGCGAGCGCTATATCGGCATGTGGCAGGCTGACCTGCACCATGGCCCGGGCGTCGTGGTCACCCAGGCAGGCATCTGCTATCAGGGCTCCTTCCAGGCCGACAAGATAGTGGTAAGTGGGTGACCTGCGTGTGGCCCAAGCTGCCCTTCTCCTTGCGCTCAGTACTGGGCTGAATTTCTGGAACTTTCCTTCAGTCAGTCATGCGTCATCTGAGCCGAGGCTGATCAAGGGTGGACAGGGCAGGAAGCGGACATCCTGGGTGCTGGGGGAAGCCAAAACTGGGGTGGGAATCCAGCTTGCTCACCCTTCTGCCTTGACCTTGACCAGGTTCCTGGCCCTCCCAGCCTCAGTTTCTCTGTTGATACTCAAGTTAGAAATACTTATCCCCAAAACCTCGGTATAATAGTGAGATTAAAGTCCGTGATGATACACTGCCCTAGGACCAGCGGAGGCTGGTGGTCTCCTGTCTTTGTACCCCCCCATTGGCCTCCTAATTTGAACCCCATTCAATCAATACTTGAACAGGTATCTCCAGAGTCACCCCATCATTCTCCTATTCAAGCTGATCCACTTCTAATTCCTTGACTTGTTAGCCAAGGAGTGCTAGGGGAGTAGTGAGTAATGTGTTGGGCTGCTGACCACAAGGTCAGCAGTTCAAGTCCACCAGCTGTTCCTCCACTGAAAGATGGAAGTCACCGCCTATGAAGATTTATAGTTATGGAAACCTGACATAGGGTTGGTGTATATTGGTCATGACCTGACCAGTGGATTTGGGGTTATTTTTTTTTGTTTGTTTTTTTCCCCTTGTCATTTGGTACCTGGCTTAGGGCTAAACCTTACAGTGTGATCTTGTATAATCCTCTAGTAATCCTGCATGTCTGCGTCATTGTCCCAAGCGTATGAATGACAGATGTGAGACTCAGAGGACCCACCCAATGCCACACACAACTTCCGAGCAACAGAGCCAGGGCTCAACCCCTGACGTCCTGAGCCTGGGTGTGCAGCACCCGCCTCTGTCCCACCCACCCCTGCCAGGTGCTGGCACTGCGGGGCGCTGGCCGGGTGACGCTTAGTGTTACCATAGCTTGTTTGTTTATTTAGGTTCCACTTTGTTCAGGAAGAACAGAGTGAGTAACATGTCAGGCAGCTAACCAAAAGGTCGGCTGTTCGAACCCATCCATGGCTTTGCAGTGATAGGCAGCCCAGTGGGGTGGCTCTGATTTGAACTTGACTTGAGGGCAGTGGGGTTTTGATTCTTGGGTAGGATTGAAGGAATGTGCAACAATGAATGAATGAAAATCCTACTTTTCTGTAAACTTTTGATAAAATCACAAGGGAAAAAAAACATAAAAGAAAAAAGAAAGTTTTGAAAGAGGCCCACAGGACAGATACGGCAGGGGTGGGTGGAGACCAGGGTAGGTGCCTGATACAGATCAGAAGTGAGCTACACTCAGATTGTGTCTCCTTTTGCCCTGAGCTTCCTTGCAGCCACTGCAATGAGGGCACTTAGCTCTACTGTCTAGTAGTGACGGGGAGACAGGGATGGTTCAGGTGAAGCCCGGCTTGTACTTCTGTGGGTAGGAAGGGTCTCCCGCATGCTCCAAGAGAAGCTACTGGCTATGAGGAGCCAGAGTTGGAGGTGTATTTGTATTTGGGGGCATTCAGGGGTTCTCAGAGGTGAACTGCACAGGGCTAATAATACTCAGTGGACCAAGGGCTGGTGTCTTAACCCAGGCGTGATCCAGGAGGTGGGATCGGGCTCAGGACCCCTCTCTCCAGGAGTCAAGGCCACGTTCCTCTTGCCTGCTGTCCCCTCCACACCCCTGGTCCTTCCTTGTCCACCATTCTTCTGGTTCCTTCCACAGGGCTCAGGTGTCCTCCTCTCTGAAGATGACTCACTTTACGAGGGCACCTTCACCAGGGACCTGACCCTCATGGGCAAGGTAGGTGCCACTGAGACTCCACTCCACACCCCACTAAGTCCTCCGGGAGGGTCTTTGATCACCCTTGCTGGACCCAGATGAGTATGTGTACCCAGCGGAGGAGGAGGACTTCTCCTGCTTTGACCACATCCAAGGGGCTGATCAAGCAGTGGTCCTGCTACGGAGCTGCCATGGCCCCAGAGCAAACAGAGAGTAGACGAGCTGGCTTCTTGGGCCCAGCAGGAGCTGGTGGTCTCCTGGCTACATTCCCACCCAGCCGCACATGGGTGATTCTCCCACTGTCTCATGTGTCTTTTTTTTTTTCTTACCCTCTTTGACCTCATAGATGAGGCCCAGACATTAGGCACAGCTGTTGGTGGTGAGGGCTCATATGGGGGAGATTCTGAGGCCTCGGGGTGGGGGGGCAGATAGAGATGGCCAGTGGGAAGCCCATCTGTCAGCCCCCAGCCACTGATAGAAAGATGGCTGGACAGACAGAGTCATGGGTGGACATATGAATATCCCTGCTTTCTGTCCTGGCTTCTAGGGCAAGGTCACTTTCCCCAATGGCTTCACCCTGGAGGGCTCCTTCGGCAGTGGAATGGGGAGAGGACTGCAGACACAGGGCGTGCTGGACACGGCTGCCCTCCCGCCGGACCCCAGCAGCACTCGGAAGCGGTGAGAACCTGGCCCGTTTGACCCTTGCATCCTGAAGCTGCCTTGGGGACATCTTGTTTGTCTGTGCTCCGGCCCCAAAGGACTCAGTTCTCAGGGAAAACCTCTTCATCCTCAGCTCTGAGACTTCCTAGCACATTAGTGGGCTCAGAGACACCAGGGCATACAGCTGTCCAATCAGAGGCTGACTCAGAATCGAGGGCTGTGTGGAAATAATTCCCATGCAACAGAACTTGAGAAGAAATACTGTTGGACTTTTCTTGGATTTTGCTTTTTTTTCCCTTGAAAGGTTAAAAAGTACTTTATAAAACAAACAAATAAATAAGCATAAAATAGAAAATAAATATGCTAGTTGAGTTTAGGAGAGAGATACAGATAGATCCAACAACAGTGGTTATCATTACGCATTAGCTGTGAGTTCCCTAGCAGCCGAGGTGAACAAGGAAACTAGTTAAATGGCTTTGCTGTTAGTGTCATAGGTTATGTGAAAGGAGGGCAGACCTGTGGGGATAAAAATCACCCTTGGAGTATTGAGGAAGCCTTGGGATGTCAGTGTCTCATGGGGCCTAGCCCCAGGCATTGATTCCACCAGCAGGCAGCATTTCAGATGTTGACCCTTTTGAGTTTTTTCCACCCTGGAGACTGGAGCTGGGAGTGGAGGGCAAACCCTGGGGATATGACTCAAGTCTTGGGGTGGGGGCTGCAGGTATAGGCTATTCCATGGCAACAGAGGGTCAGTGCTATTAGACAGTGTGAGGGTCTCCCATCTCCTCCCCCACTCCTTGCCCCGGCCAGATCCTGGGCCTGGTGGCTGGGTGGATCGAGGTCTGAGAGGAACTGAATGATGGGAGGGTGGAGCATTTGGCCTCAAGGCCAAGGAATCCCTGGCTTTGGCCATTGACTGTCCTGGGACCAACACTGCACTGTTGGGATTAGGGCTCCATCTCTCCTGTCTGTCTGCCTTTGCATCTCTGTCTTTCCAGGGCTCTGCAAGTCCCTGTCTGTCTTTTCCATCTCTGTGTAGATTCTGTCTCTCTCTGCTTTTCCTTTCTCCTCCTGGAACCCTTGAGGTCAACCCCGTCTGCATCCCTCAATCTATCACCCTCCCCTGGTCTAATGCTACTACCCCTTTGGCGGGTTTGGACTGAGCCCTGCCCACCTTAGCTCTGTCTCCCTCACAGGCAGCTGGGCCAAGGCGCCTTCCCCGTAGAGAGCCGCTGGCAGGGTGTATACAACCCTTTCCAGGACTTTGTGCGTGCTGGCTGCCCCCAGGACCTGCAGGAATCCCTGCTGGGTTTCCATGTGCAGAGCTCCAGAGAGCTGCGCAAATCCCAGGAGTACCTGTGCTGTGAGAGGTGAGGCGGGGTCCAGGTGGGCTCCCACAGAAGCTTCCATGAAGTTGCTGGAGATCAGAGTGGGCAGGACGGGCAGGTGTTCTGCAGCAGAGGGCCTGGGCCCAGATGTAGGTGAGAGACGTGTCTGTGTGTGTGGGACCCAGGACCCACCCTGAGGACAGCAAGAACAGGATCGAAGACATACTGGAGGAGTTGCTACAGCACCGGCAGCCCGACATGCTGCAGCCGTACCTCAAGAAGGTGAGGGTCCTGGAGTGGGACATGGAGCACCCCATAGGGGAACCTATTCCTACTGCCACCCGCACGGGAGGACCCTGTTTCTCATAGCAGGATGCTGACTGGAGGAGACAAAGTTATAGGCCCTTTGTTCCCCGGGAACCTCAGTGTTCTCATCTGTGAAATGGGGTACATTCGTGGAATCCCAGTCTGATCAGGCTGTGCTCCAGTCCGTGGCACTGAGCATCTCTTCATTGTTTGCACCCTGACCAGGCTCTGGGCAGCGCCCTGCACCCGCTGGGAAAGCTGCTCCGGACGCTGATGCTGACCTTCCAGGCCACGTATGCGGGAGTCGGGGCCAACAAGCATTTGCAGGGCTTGGCCCAGGAAGAGGTGAAACAGCATGCTCAGGAACTCTGGGCTGCCTACAGGTGGGGCATGGGGACACCCTGTGACGTGCAATGGGGACAGGGGTCTCACTTTTCCACTCACGTGCCAGCTGTCCAGGCCAGAGTGATCTGGAGCAATAGAGGACTGTGGAGTTGGTCAGTGTGGGCTGGGAAAAGGACTAAAGGATAAGGAGGTGATGCCCGGGGGGCCTGTCTCTAGTTCTCACTGGGAGCGTGCTCCCCTCACTGCAGGCTGATCTCAGACCGGGGCTCAGAGCCCGCCTCCCAGACCTAACTGCAGGCTGATCTCGAACTGGGGCTCGGAGCCCGCCTCCCAGGCTGAGCTGTGACCCATGAGTTCTCACAGACCTCATTGCAGGCTGATCTCAGACTGCTGCTTGGTGTCTGCCTCCCAAGCTGAGTTCTCACGGACCTCACTGAAGGCTGATCTCTGACTGGGGCTTGGAGCTGGGACCATTCAGCTCTCACAGGGAAGAATTTTAGATGCAGCCCCTCTGTTGCTGGATGACAAGATTTCCATGCTGACCCTCTGTCAGTCTAGCCTTCTGAGACCAGATCCGGGGTCCCTGGTTCCATGACCGGGTGAATGGGCCTCTTAATTCCATGTCCCCCTCTCGTTGGTTTGCAGGGCTCTGCTGCAGGTGGCCTTACAGCGGAAGGGCCAGGCCCCAGAGGAGGAGGAAGATGTGGAAACAAGGTGAGGATCTTGGGCGAGTGAACGACTGGGGGAGGGCCTTCTGTGGAGCTGTTGGGGTGGAGATTCTGCGGACCATTAGAGGGGTGGCCCGGTAATCCCTGTCCCGCTGACCCCGCCCTGCTTGCTGTCCGCGCGTCTCAGGGACCTGCACGTGCACGGAGTGGTGCTGCCCTTGGTGCTGCCCAGCTTCTACCCCGAGCTCTTCACGCTCTACCTGCTGCTTCATGAGCGGGAGGATGGCCTCTACAGCCAGGGCATCGTCAACCTGAGCCTCTTCTCTGACACCAAGCTGCTGGAGTTCCTGGACGTGCAGAAGTAAGCCCCGCCCCGCCCGTGCTAGCCACGCCCAGCTCAGCTCCCTCTCTGCCCCTCAGCCAGATAAGCAAATAGAAGGGAATGAATGGCCCAAAAGGGGTCATGCTCTGGTGGCCTAGCGGCAAGAAGCTGCACTGCAATCGTGAAGGCTTGCAGTTCAAGACCACTCCACGGAGAAGGCTGGGCAATCTCCTTTAACTGCCTCTGAAAACCCATTGGAGGGTCAGCTATGGGTCAGTTCCAACTCTAGGGCACTCAGCAACCCGGAATGTCCCCGGGGGTCTACAGTCAGGTGAGGCTGAAGCTAGGTGCTCGAACACAGAGGGAGACAGACCCCTTCTTTCTCTGCTCCCTCCTACTGGCCACTCCAAGTGTGTCCTCTTCCCTCCCAGCCAGCTCCCCCTACCCCCTAGAGCCCACAGGGAGCAGCTTTAGTAGAGATGGATGGGACTGAGTCAGCCTGTCTCCATATCCATCCCTAGGGCTGGACAAAGTCGGGGCTTTTGGACTAAGAGTGGGGGTGGGGAAGGCCTGTCAGGAGAAACAGGGCTATTCCCAGAGCAAGTCAAGTGGTGTTGATGCTACACATGATGCCTCACCCTTCCCACCCTGGACTCCCTTGTCACCAGTGACGGTGGCTCCCAGCTTCTCAAAACCTGTTTCCTTTGCTCCCTTGGTTTCCCCACCCACCACTTGTCAGGACAGAGACCTGGCTTCCAGTCCGCCCCCTCCCCCCCCCCGGCTAGGCTCGTTCCTTCTCACCCAGCTCTTGGGGTTGCCTGCTCTGCACTGACTTCCTGCTCTGCTCTGCAGCCCCACATCCTTGCCACATGGCAGTGACAGCTGTGTCCCCACCTGCACATCTGACTGAGCTGTCTCCTCTCCCAACTCTGCCCACGTTGGGGTTCCCAGGCATGGAGTGCTCCCACCTCTGCCCATGTGGGGACACCCAGGCGTGGAGTGCCACCCCTCCCGCTTGCATTTCAGGACCTGAAAGGGGGAACCTCCTCCTGGGCCCCCTCGGGGCTCCTTATGTCTCAGCTCCATCATCGTGGCCTTCTCTGAGGAGCTACGATGACCCATCTCTTTCCCCTGGTCCTCTCGGCACAGGGCATCTCTCCTCTGCCACCTCATCCTAGTAAGCATCTGTGTCTCACTCTTAATTCCAGGCACCTCTGGCCCCTCAAGGACCTCACACTGACAACCAATCAGGTGAGAGGGTGGGTCCGTCTGTCACCTGGCACAAGGAGGGAGATGCCTGAGCCCTGAGCCGAACCTCCAGCTGTCTAGGGATCCATGAGATTTGAGAGAGCACCCAAGGCTTCTGTTGAGCCCCTTCCCCACTATTGCTGGCCAGAGGCCGCTGAGGGGCTTGTCCAGGGTAGAAACGCGGGACTAATGTGGGATGAATGCGGAAGGAGACTCTGGCATTCCTCGTAGTTCTAACTGCTGTCTGGGTCAGGACTCAGCTGGTGGCCTGCAGTGACCAGGTTCATCCACAGCCGCCAACCCTCTGTGGCCTTTGCTGGCTGTGCTGTGACTCCATTTTGCCACGTGTCAAAGGAAGGCATATTGTTCAGCCTCACTGAGTCGTGGGGCTGTTACACGCGGCAGTGGTTCTCACAGTGTGAAACATTATCACCATCTGGGGCTCTACTAATAAGGTAGATTCTTGGACCCAACCTGGTCCCACTGAGCCAGAGGCTCAGGGCTGGGCCCAGGGATCATTTCCAAGAAGTGTTTCAGGGTATTCTGATGAGCTTCGAGTGGCTTGGGAACCCTTGACCTAGGCTCTTAGAATTGAGCAGTGCCCAGTGCCCATTGGCTGTTACGATTGTTGTTGCTATCCATTTTGACCCTCCCAACCTTCTGGCAGTGGGGAGATGAGCTCTGATGGCTTAGTAGTAAGGAATTGGGCCACCAACTCAAAGGTAGGCAGTTCGAATCCACTAGCTGTGCTGCGGGAGAAATACGGGCCGTCTCCTACCATGTAATTTACTGCCTCTGAACACCTGCTGGAGGGTCAGCTGTGAGTTGGTTCTGACTCAACAGTACACAGAACTACTTCCTTCTGTAGACCAATGACCCATATTACACTTGGGTAAACTGAGGCCCACACTGGGGTCAGGAATGTGCTGTAGGTAGGGAGGGGGCATGGTAGAGTCAGAGTTAAATGATGGGGAAAAGATAAGTAGCAGAGGGTTCAAGGTCACCCTGGAACCCAGGGAGAGGGGTGGCAGAGCTGGGGGGGCCACACTTCCAACCAGCCTGGCTCCCCCCACCGTGTAGAGATACTCCCTGGTCCGAGACAAGTGCTTCCTGTCAGCCACAGAGTGCCTGCAGAAGATCATGTGAGTCCATGCCTGCCCTGGGAGGCGAGGGGGCAGGAGGCAGAGTTGGGGGCACTGGCCAGGCCTGAACTTGAGGACCTTGAACCTCTGCAGCACCACAGTGGACCCACGGGAGAAGCTGCAGGTGCTGGAGAGGACTTACGGGGAAATTGAGGCGACTGTGTCTCGGGTGCTGGGCCGGGAACACAAACTGCCCATGGACGACCTGCTGCCACTGCTCATCTACGTGGTATCT